GTGGAGCAGTAAGGAACACACACAATCATCTGTGTGTGACCGCTTTATTCTGCCACTACTGTGACCAAAACATGTTTCCAACATGCTCAAACTCAAATCTTTATGTCTGGTATTAACCAAAACATATTTATATCACACCATGTACATCTCATGTGATACAGGGTTCTCCTTATACAAAATCTAACAGTTGTGAGGCAATCTCATCAGTCATGAGGCGGCAGCCATTCACGCACTACAGCGCCACAAAAAACATACAAATTTACTCTATTATCAAATACAACATGGACACAAACGACAGATCAGGTGCTTCAGCATTTACGTTACATCATGTTTCTGTTGCTTTGTATGTGCTTAATCTCACAGGATTCATAAAACAACACAATATTTCCACACCTCACATCGTGGTCGCGCTAAGCTAGCGGCTAACTCGGTTAAAACATTTTACATAGACTATGTTCAAACTCCAACATTTATTTTGTACACGAGTTAAGCCGAATATTTAAACAAGCTATAAGTGAAATTTCAGCTTAGTTCTGAGTGATTTATCATCACCTTCTACATACCTGTGGAGCAGTAAGGAACACATACAATGATCTGTAGCCTCATTATTTTAATTCTGCCACTACTGTGACCGTTAGGCTTCAGTGGTGTTTGCCTGACTGGTCCTGGCACTTGGGTGACACCTGCTGTCACAAAAAGGTTATGACAGCGACATTTTTCACACAAAAAGTGATTTAAGAAAGAAAAATAGTTCTATGACAGCTTGTTATTGTGTTGTGGTTGTTTTTTATTTATTGGTTGTCTATTTTACTTTAGAGGCTTTTTTCCATCCTGTACAAATACACGTCACATATTTTGACTCCGTGTTCATCGCTTGTCTCCACAGTCACACCGAGACCACGGGAGGTTCAGGCAGGTGAAACTCTGCTCAGCAGCACTTGTGGCTACTCGGTTGTGAAGTTTCTTGGTGAGGGCGTCTTCGGCAGAGTCGCCAAGTGCCAGAAACTGGACACATCAGAGACAGTGGCTCTAAAGATCCTCAAGAAGGACTTTAGATTAATGCAGGACACTAAGAAAGAGGTAGATCTTTGGACTGCTTTTCATTATATTTTCATGTTCAGGTTTTTGATGGCTTCAGCAGAATATGAACCATGACCTGCTGATTGTTGCTCATTTAACTGACATTATATCTTCTTCTTTCCTCCACAGCTGTCCATCTTGAAAGCAATGAGTGGCCTCGATCCAGACCTCACCAACGTCGTCAAGTTCTTCGAGCAGTTTGAACACCTGGGACACACCTGTCTGGCCTTTGAAATGCTGGACAGGAATCTCTTTGAGTTCATGGAAGAACAGTATTGGGAGCCACTATATCCCATGAAGATCCGCCCCATTGCACAGCAGGTTTGTATTACTGTCACATTTTATGACTGAAGAAAGCCCCGACCTGAAGCACACACAGCAGAACATGGAAAAGTAAAAATTAAATTCCAACCTTGTCCTTTCTGGTTTTGTCCCTGCAGCTCCTGGTGGCCCTGGACGCCCTGAGGGGTCTTGGTATCCTGCATGCTGACATTAAAGCAGACAACATCATGTTTGTCAACATGCAGGACCGACCCCTCAGAATCAAACTCATTGATTTTGGCAACGCTATTCCGGCGTCGAAAGTCCAGCCTGGGTTGATGCTGCAGCCATGCGGCTGCAGGTGGGTTCATCCTGCAGGCTCAGCTGTTCATGTAGAAGAGCTGTGTCCATCTGAAGCCCCAAATTATTACATTTGTCCCCAAAGACTGCCAACACATTTCTGATATTTGCTCTTGTCTTCCCTCCTCAGGGCCCCAGAAGTTGCCCTCGGCCTCCCCTTCAACGAGGCCATAGACGTATGGGGAGCCGGCTGCGTCCTGGCCCTCCTCTTCCTTGCTGACAACCTGTTCCCAGTCAACTGTGACTATCAGATGGTAGGTCAGCTGCTTCAAAGAAAAGTCAACAAGTCAAACTTTTATGCAGATAATCAGCTAATGTGACTGGGTGTAATCTGTCTGCAGATGAGGTGCATCGTTGATTTTCTTGGTCAGCCGGAGGACCACCTGCTCCGTGCTGGGAAGTACACCAAGTGCTTTTTCAAGGAAGAGGAGGCTGGTGACAGCTCAAGATGGAGGCTCATGGTAGAGCAACATGTTCTTCTTGCTTGGAGTTGATTCCGTGGTTTCATCCCAACTCTCCTAAAACACTTCTCATATATGTTTTGTTCCTCAGACGCCAGCAGAATTCACAGCAGTAAACAGAGTGAGAGCAGAGGGACCACACGGCTACTTGGAGCTGTCCTCTCTGGATGACCTGGTCAATGTAGGTACTTTCTGCTGCCTTGTTAGAGGGATAACTAAATCAGTAGCAGTTACTGATCTGTCTGTAAATGTTGGGAGCTCATCAGTCAGTCTTACTCTGTTTCCAAATCCAGATGTATCCAAAAAGGGAGGCTGCTGAATACTGTGACAGAGTGGCCTTTGTGGAACTGTTGAAAGGGATGCTGCACCTTGACGGGGATCAGAGAATCTCTCCTCGTCAAGCTCTGCAGCACCCGTTCATCACGATGTGCCACCTGACCCAGGACTCTGACAGCAGAGACTAGTAAGTGACAGTGATGTTCACATGAGTACATAACAAAGGATACTGGATAAATTGACATCTTTGATAATGGACAGACTAATTCACAAACTCTTTATCATCCTTCATCCAGCCTGGCCACCTCCCAGACAATGATGAGTGTCTGCCCAGAAGAGCACTCAGATCAGGTCAACACTCCTGAAACATCTGAACCTGATTCTGAGTCAGCCAATGGGTTTTGTGTCAGAGATTTATTCTCTGACACAAATGTAGACACTCCAGCCACCAGGTCATCTGATGAAGTCCAACCATCAGACTCCTGTAAAGACTGTTGTACAGACGAGTCTGACGGAGTTTCCTGGAGCTCTTTCTCCTGGACCTTCGTCGACTCCACATCTGTT